CCCCCGGGGCCGCCTGCTTTGCATAATGCACTGCAGGGATTTAAAAAAGGGGGCGGGGCCGGGAGACGAACCGAGGGAAAGCGGGCCTGCCAGGTAGGCAGCACTGCACGGCTCGACCTGGAGCGCCTGCGAACGGCGAGGTAGGCCGTGCCGCACTACACCGAGGCGTTGCGGCGCTGCCTGCCTCGCAGGCGCCCTCCACCGCCTGCAGGGTAGGCCGTGCCGCGCTACACCGGAGTCTCGCGGCACTGCCTACCCCGCGGCTCGCAGGCGCCTCCAAGAAGAAGTTGCATCTGCGAAGCAACGGCCCAGGCCGTGCAGCAGGCCATGATGCACTGCGCGTCCGCGGCTGGCGTCTGGCATATGAATACCGCATTTTGTCCGTATCACGGGAACATCTCCATCGCGGTGCCCGGCTGCCCGGCCGCGCCGAGAGGCTGAGAGGGCTCGGAGGGCGCGAAGGTGTCTCCAGCAGGGGGAGGGGGGGCTGCAGTCTCAACTTGGGGCTCTGCGGCCGCCTCGGACGGGGCGCGGCAACCTGCCGACGCGCGCGTGCTATCGGGTCCGTGCATCGCGCGCGCACGCTTGCACGCCAGGCCCGCGCGCACGCGCTGCTGCACTGATAGAGACGAGCCAATCACAATATTTATAGAGGTCGGCGGAGCGTCGCTGCGTTGCCGCGTCGCGGTGACACGCAGGCGGGCATGATTTACCGGCCGATGCCATAAATCTAGAACCGTTTTCGCTGTCCGGTCTGCCTGGCTGGCTGTCTGGCCCGGGCGGCTGCGGTGCGGCGCAGAGGGCGTCGCGGAGGGCTGCGGCGTGATTGAAAGCTCTCCTGGGTGGCGCTGGCAGTGCTGGTAGGCAGGGCGGTCTAGGATGGTGGCGGCCAGAGGGCGCACTCAGGCGCGGGACATTCCGGAACGTGTTTGTAGGATTGTCCCCAGTAGTAAGAAATATCCCAGGTCACCCGCCGCCAGTTGTAAGAAATACCCCAGGTCACCCGCCGCCAGTAGTAAGAAATACCCCAGGTCACCCGCCGCCAGTAGTAAGAAATACCCCTGGACACCCGCCGCCAGTAGTAAGAAATACCCCAGGTCACCCACTGCCATCTTGAAACCCCAGGTCACCTCGCCCCCAGGTCACCTAACCTAACATAACCCAACCTAACCCCGTCACTCTTCCTCCCTCGCGCTGCCGTTCAGACACAGCCTGCTGCTAGTGTGATGCGGCCTTGTTAATTACGGCTGCTTCTTATTGGTCTACATCGGCGCGCTGGCCGTGCCGGGCCGGGCGCTGCGGCACGCTGCCGCCACTGCGGTTTGGTGACCCCTCGGCTCGACGGCTTGCTCCGCTCCGCCCACTTGTGATGCGGGGCGCGGCGCGGCTCCACTACCCGCACGGCGCCACAAAAAACGCGCTCCGCCCGGACGAGGCCGGCCGGCAGGCCCATTCCGAGAGTCGTTTTCGTCGCGCTGTCTCTCTCGCTCTCGCAGGGCGGGCCGTGTGGGTGCGAGAGAGACAGAGCGACTCTCGGAGTCGGTCTGCGGACCGCCTCTGCCCATTCCGCCGCTCGGTGCACCGCTGCAGTCCTGGCGGAGGCCCGTCTCGCCGTCGCGGACGTCGGGGAGCAGAGACTGTTCGGGTTGACATTCTCCGCGCTTGGCGGGGCGGCGACGTCCTCTGGGCGCTGCGGCGGCCCGTGCCAGCCAGCGCGTCGCTCTCCTGCGGGAGTAGCACACTACTTTGTCTCCGTCCCGGTATGGCTCGCCGTTTGACGTGACGCCTGCCATCACGCACGGCCGGAGGATTAGGACGACACCGCGGCGGAAAATAACAGAAAGCCGGATCGGATCGGCATTGGGATTTCGCGATTTTTATCACCGCCTTCGTTGTTGCGCGCGGCGCGATCGGATCTCGGCCTGGCAGTGCGCGGTGATCTGCACAGCCACAAACACACACTCGCAGTCTGTCGCACTTGGCAGGCAGACGGCGCGTCCGGGAGGCGGGGAGTACGATGCCGCCGGTACACTGGCCGTCACACAGAAACGCGGCAACGCGTCGTCGTCGCGGTGCATTCCGATGTCGCGATAATGGCTTCCGATTGGCTGCCGATTGCGCCAATAATATGAGCGGCCTAACAAGGATGAGCTGCTATCGCGGCGGCCGCGCGCGTGCCGAGACCGCCGCCGTGGTCCCGGTGGCGCGGCTTGGCGACGCGGCGGCCGGGTGCGAGCGCGGCGGCAGGCGCACCGACCGCCAGCCCGGCCTGCTCGGCCAGCCCCGCGAGTGACAGGACAAAGTGTCGGCAGGAGATAAGCCGCCGGTCCTGCCGCCGAGTCGCAACGCCCCGCATGGCCTGCTTGGCCTGCACGCCGGTATGGACTACGCGGACTACGCGGACTACGTGGACTACCTGCAGCTAGTTGCGATAACTGCCGCGTGTCACCGCCGGCGCTGACGGCGCTGACGGTCTTAATGGTGGATGTGTTGTTGATGTTGTTGCTGGCGGTGGACGTCGAGGTGGTGCCAGTCCTCACGGCTTCGGCGCGCGCACCGCCGCACCGCCGCGTACTTTCACAGCAGCATTGTCTGCTGATTGATCACAGGACGTCATCCACAAGGCGCTGGTCGAAATGCGGAGGGGGGGGGCGACGGGGTTCAAGGAGCTTAGCGGGGCTGGAGGGGGCGGGGGCAGGAACCTCACGGGGTAACGAGGCATATTGAGTCCCCGTGATATGCATCCTCTGCTGCAGCACAGTACGCATGACACACATCCCTGCGCAGGGCGGGGCGGGGCGGGCGGGGACACTGCGAACTGCCATGGAGAACGATCACACCACCAGTCCTTGCATCATCAGACTCAAACCTTTTTCTTCCACTTTTTTGCTCCACTTTCTGTCGTTTGCGTTTTCAACGGCGTAGGCATACACACACACATACATACACACCTGCATAGCTAAAATTCTTGGCGGCCACCATTATTGTATTTTCACCGCGACCTCCTTCACTAGTTACACCGCCGTGTGATCGACTGGAATGCAGTGCATGTCCAGGGCCTGGACTCCAGGCCGGGCTGGCCGCGCCGGCCGGGACACGTTCAGTGTGGGAACGTCCGGCCGTCGGCACGCCGCGGCACGGCGCGGCACGGCGCGGCACGGCGCGGCAGCACGCGGCCGGCAGCCTCCGTCCTCCGTCTCGCGGTCTCGCAGTGTCCCTGCTTGTGCGTCGCGCAGCCTCGAGCAGCCTCGCGTTGACGAACCCCTCCGTCCCTCGCCGTGGCAGTGGCTCGGTTCGGTAACTAGCCGGCCACCACTTTTCCCTCCCTGAGACACCATCGTCATGTAGACCCACGTCTACGGAAATCGAAGCTGGGCTCCCAGTTCTGCTGGGTTCAACTCCCGCGGCGTTGTCCGTGCCCGTCCAAGCCACCACACTGCTCAGATCAACTGCTCCTCCGCCGCTCGGCCGATGTCCTTTTAGTCATTTTTGCCGGGCTGCCGTGCCGGTCGCTGGCCGGCCGGACAGCCATCGAGGATCGGGATCTTCGCGAACGGCCATCGTCATGGCGAGCATGGCCGAGGCCGCGGTGCGCGCGGTGGCGGGGCGGGGCGGTCCCCAGCCCCATTGACAAATGATCCGATAAGTAAAGGCAATTACCGGCCTCGCAGCAAGTACAATTTAATCATGCTTGGGCTGCTTGCGCTAGGCAGTGCCAGGCAGTGCCAGGCTGTGCTAGGCTCGGCCCATTAATTGCTGCGGCCAGGCCGGGCCGCCCCCGACATCGAGGTGGTTGACTCCAGCGCGCCCTAGCGGGACAGCGACACGAGCCAGTCAGTCGGCCAGTTTCGTTTCGCGCCGTTTTGCGTTTTGCGGGGGACGCGGTGGCATTTGCAGGCGATGAATGGGAAACGGAAAAAAGGAGAAGAAGAGAAAAAGAGACGGAGGTGTGGTTGAATGGCAGCCGCTGTGCCAACCGCGTGCATGAGGTGGACACGAAAGGACACCCAAGGACAGTCCGCGAGGGTGTGTAGGCCACCAGGACCCCGCCGCGGACCGCGCTGGAGCCGCTGGAGCGAGGCGAGGGCGGCCGCAGTGGGCGGGGCGGGGCGTGGTGCGGGAGCCACTAACTCCTTCGACGGCCGCGCGGGGCGCCACGCGCTGCGACTCAAACTCATCGGGACGGGACGCGCGGAGCCTGGCGGAGCCGCGGTGGGGAGCGGCGGGGCGTGGGCGGGGCGGGGTGGGGGCGGGGTGGGGGGGCGGGCGGCGCGGGGCCGGGGGGGGTGAGGTAGTGTGTGATCCGGACGGTGTGCCCCGCCGCCGTGCCGCCGCGCCACGGTGCCGCGCCGGGATGCTGTCCGAGTGGCGTGCGGTGCCAGTGCTGTTCCGGCCGCCGCACGACCCGCACCGCCCAGTCCTCCCCGTGCATGTCCTCCGCGTGCCGCTCTGCGCCTCGCTTTGCGCTGCGCGTCGCCCCATGCCGCCCAGCGCCTCGCCGAGTGCCTCGCCGAGTGCCGGTCCGTCGGTCCGTGAGTGAGTGACAGTGCCTCCGCGGCCCCCGTCGGTGGCCCCGCCCAAGGCACCGGCCAAGGCACCGGCCATGCCATGAGGATGGAGTGCGCGGCGTCCGACTCCAACAACAACCAGCCCAGCCTCGGCCCCGGCCCCATCCCCGCCGGGATGGTCGCCGGGGCGCCGGGGGCGGTCGGCACCCTGGACAAGTACTCGCTGCGGCCGCGCTCCCTCAAGAAGCGCGCCGAGACGGAGCTGCGTCGGCAGCAAGCCGCCCAGGCGGCGGCGCAGGCGGCGGCCCAGCAGGCCACGCAGCAGCAGCACCTCGCCGCCGCGCTGCAGGCCGTGCCCGCCATGCCCGCCGCGGTGGCCGCGCCGGGGCGCGTCGCGCACGTCGCCTACGTGCCGCAGACCCACGCCCCGGCGTCGGCGCCGCAGCGACCCAGCCGACCGAAACAGAAGCCCGCCCCGCTCAGCAAGTACCGGCGGAAGACGGCCAACGCCCGCGAGCGATCGCGCATGCGTGAGATTAACGTGGCGTTCGAGACGCTGCGTCGCGCCGTCCCCCACACCGCGGCGCCGGCCTGCGCCAGCGAGAAGCTCACCAAAATAACCACGCTGCGGCTCGCCATGAAGTACATCGCGGCGCTGTCGCAGGCCGTGCGCGAGAGCCAGATGTCGCCGCAGGACGACGACGGCGTGGACGCGGCGGACGGCGCTTCGTGCTCCCCGCTGGCCCTGGCCGACGACACGTCCGCCTACGCGCCGCCGCTGTTCGGCGCCCCGGACTCGCCGTTCGGCATGGGGCTGCCCGGGCTGCCCACGTTCGACCAGTTCCGCGGCTGCGGCAGCGCGTCCAGCTCGTCCAGCCTCAGCATCGACGCCGGCCAGGGCATCGACGCCGACTTCGCGGACCACAACTCGCTGCTGTCCGCCGACTTCGCCGACTTCCCGGAGCCGTCGCTCGGCATGGGCGGCATCGCGGACCTCGTGGACCCCTGCCTCACCGCCGTGGCCCTCACCTCGGACGACTTCTACGACACGGCCTTCATGACGGACTTCAGCTAGCGAAGCTAGCGCGATGCCGCGGCCGTATGTAGCTCCCCTGTTCCCCAGCCGAGTGGTCTTCATTTCGTCTTAAAACGCATCCTACACCTGTCGAAAAACAACCTCTAAAATAGCCAGATGAGTATCACTCGCGCTTTCCCTTTCGGCGGCCCGCGCGCCGCTCCCCAGGGCGCTGTTTGTAGAGGACCAATCCCGACTGAGAACGAACAGTCCCTGGGGAGCGGCGCGGCGGGCCGGAGACCAGCACCCTCTCCCGTCAACCCTCCGCGAGCGCCGTGGTTTCGGAAAGCCTCCTCCAATGATGCTCTTTCGGGACGTGATATTATCGGCGCGCTTGGCAGGTGGGCAGGGCCGCGCGCTCCGCTCGGCGCCGTGCTCCGCGCTCCGCGCCGCTCCGAGGTGAAGGATCCCAGTGGGCGAAGAGGCCGGAGCGCGGGGCCTGGCGGCCTCACTGTACAGGAAAGACTAGGAAAGGTTTGCGTGGGCACGTCTAAGCCCCGCGCCCGGCGCTGCAGCGCTCTGCGCGCTGTGCGGCTGCAACACTAACGGGTGTGGCCCCAGCGAGCGGAGCGCGCGGAGCGGCCTTTTAAGTGAGCGCGTGGCGTGAAAACGTTCTCAAAGTCCCAATCTGCACCGCAAAAAAAAACTGCCAAAGCACATAAAACGTCAGCAAATTTTGCAACTTTTTGTTCATTTTTAAATTTTTTGGAAAAGGAGTGTCTTAAAGCCGTACAAACCTCTGATCTGCCTCTTCCCTCCCCTTCTTAAAAAAGCCCCTCGCGGAGGTATCGCAAAAACAAAATATGATGAAATTGCAGTATTGTGTAATCTTGTGGACCAGGATGATTTTTATTTCGTTGTAAGTTAAAATATGTACCTGTAATCTTTCTTAATTGTGATCCGTTGAAAAGAAATGTATATTCTGGCGTAGACGCCGCTGTCGGTTAGTTAGGGTGTATAAAACAGTGTTTAGCTATAATTAGCGTGTAGTAGTGCCTCTCGGACCCTGTTGTACAATATCGCATAGCAAACGTACTCAGTGGCGAATCAATAGAGCATGGAAATAAAAGAGTTGGATGGACGTCGGAAAAAGGGTCGCAGTGTACCGGCGTTGTCACCGTGGATCCGAATGTGTCGTCACGCCCTGCAGGCCCGCAGGGCGCCGCTAGCGTGCCACTACTTTATGTGGCGGAACGCCTCCATCTAGCGCGGTCTGGCGAGCGGCGTGTTCCGGAGGGGCGTTCCGGAGGGGCGTTCCGAAGGGGCGTTCCGAAGGGGCGTCCCGGACGGGCGTTCCGGAGGGGCGTTCCGGAGGGGCGTTCCGAAGGGGCGTTCCGGACGGGCGTTCCGAAGGGGCGTTCCGGAGGGGCGTTCCGGAGGGGCGTTCCGAAGGGGCGTTCCGAAGGGGCGTTCCGGACGGGCGTTCCGGAGGGGCGTTCCGGAGGGGCGTTCCGAAGGGGCGTTCCGGAGACGGATTTCGGCTTCCGTCCGCGCCGCGTGGAGATGCGCCTTGGCCGCACCCACACACTCACAACACTCGAGCCCTCTCTCTCCCACACGCGCACCGCTGCCCGACGCCCACACCCTCAAACATCGCATAACGCAACCCGAGGAATTTTTCTGAGTGCCATAAATGTGGGGGAAATTAATTTTGTAAGTACTCTCGTTTTGCCATGCCAAACCAGCCCGTGAAAATGCCATAATGCCATATAAAGAGTAGTTGAATATTACGTCATAAGCTGCACAGCGTGCTCTGTGTCCTGATATTCCTTCTGAAGTCCTTTGGTTAGTGAGTGTCAGGCGGAATGTGCAATTCTCTTTTCTTTTGTAAATATAGACACTTGTGAAATCTCTTTTAAATGTTATGTAACTCTACTGTCAATGTGTTTTTACATATGTATATTCGGGTACTGTTTAAGTTCATTAATTTTTTGAGATCAACATATCATTAAATTATTCCTTTGAATAAACTAGTAAGTGCCTTCCTTATTGTTGTGCTTTGTTAAATATTTTTCAGAGTATATTTGATTATTGTAAGTACTGATTTTATAGATCGCGCGGAGCGCCCAGTGTATTCTTTACTTAGTGTTTATATCTGTATCTTGCCAGAGAACTGCTGTCGTCGTGTTACCGTTTTTATTTTTAAAAGGCGTGAATTATAAAAAAACAAAAAGAAATTTACAAATTGTTGTTGTTGTTTTTATTTGGCTTCTGTCCCCTTGCCCCACACCAAGTCAATATCGAAGTCCAGCCAGGAGGCCCCGTCCGCGAAAACAAAAGTGAAAAGCGACGTGATAAAAAAAAGAAAGAAAAGAGACAACTGACTTTCGTGTGACAATGCAACCGGGACCTGCCGCGCGTTGCTTTCTAGAAACGCTTTCCTTTGCCACTCCGTTTTGGCTCGAAATCCGCGCACCTCCCCGTCCAGTCGAATCATTCGCCCAATTTGGAAGCTTGTCCTTACCTAACCTCACCTCGTTGTCCTTGTTATTTCGCCACCGCGTCCCGCCGCCGCGTCGCCGCCGCGTCCGCGGAGTGCCGCGCCACACTGCCGACGTGCGCGTCGACGCGGCGTCCACGCCGCGTCGACGCCGCGTCCACGCCGCGACGGCCCGGCCGACCAGACCCCCAACGCGGCTGCGGTGCACGCCACTGGACCAATCCTCGGATTCTGTGATGAGAAATCACGCTCGCTGAACGCCCCGGCCTCCACGACACTGCAGCTTGCGCAAAGAAGCCGCGCGCGTCCAGAGCTAGCTCTGCGATTGGTCGCTTTGGGCGCCGTTTCCAACAAAACCCTCGTCCTTGCTCTTTCCCCGCATGACCGGGTGGCGGTGGGACACCGTGCGACGCGACGCGACGCACTCAGGCGCTCCGATGCACTCGATTAGCTCCGTGCCGTGCCGTGCCGCGCCGCGCCGTGCCCCGATGCACAGAGCGTCGCGTTGTCCGCGCTGCACATTCCTGCACGTGAACCCCGCGCGCCCCCTCGCGTCCCTTCGTGACTGACGGGGATAAAAATGGTCGCTGACAGTTTGGTTTTCCTGAGAAATCGTTTAACGAGCCGCGATTCGGGGGGCCTGGCCGGGCCTGGGCCGTCCCAGGCCGCCGTCGGGACGCTCAAACGAACCGACGCGGAGGCGCCGGCGTCGTCCTCAGTGACGGGGAAATGCAACTTTTTGACTGCCTTCAGGGGGCTGCCTCGGAGGAGCGATCGCCCTTTTGCCCCCTCACGGCACGCGTTTATTTCGGGTGGACTTCGGGCGGCCGCCGCGCGTGGACACTGGGAAGAGAGGAGTCCCGGCGTGTCCCGCGGGCGGCTGGATGCGCGCGCTGGCCGAACGGGTGGTCACGAAGTGGTCCGAAATGTGCCACCTGAGCGGGGGCCGGCCGAGCCCGGCTATCCCCGCCGAAGCCATTTCGCGGTGGACAAGCAGGACAAGCAGGCCGGCCGGCCAGGGGGTGGTGCCCAGTGATGCCAGGGCCGGGCCGGGCCGGGGGTGTCCGTGTCCAGCAGGTCCCCTGCAGTCCCCGGCAGGTCCCCTGCAGGTCCCTTACAGGTCCTAATTGCGAGCCTGGCCGTGAATCGTAATTGAGCCCGCCACCCAGGTAGCTGCCTGTCTTGGCCTGGCTCAGCCCGGCCAGCCACGGCACTGGCAGCCCGGCAGCCCAGCCTCCAGGAGCAGGACGTGTTTGTGAACAGAGAAATATGGGCCGGAGACCCGACCGGACCTCAAACACTCTCTCTCACACACATGCGCGCCCGTACGTACACACGCACACACACACGCACTGACGGTTAGCTAGTTGAAGGCGGTCGTGTCGGTGTGAGTTGCAGCAGGGCTGGCGAGGAAATGCGCGGAGGCGGGGCCAGGCGGGGCGGGGCGGGGCGGGGCGGCCAGTTAGTCCCTGATAGTGGCCGCGCATGCAATCCTAACATACCCCAAGCGAAGGTGACGGAGTTCACGCGCGTGCTCGGCCACATTCCAGCGTGATTCCAGTGGGGTGCAGTGCAGGTGTCGGGCCCTTGTGGCTGTCGGAGGAAACGCGTGTACCGGTCGGTCGGACACGCGACCGCACTGCCGCACTACTGCTTGTCCTCGCCGGCGCCACGCGCCCGACGCGCCGCCGTGCTGCCGGCCCCTGAGGAGGGAAACGCCCAGGAAGGAAGTTGTCCAATGCATCGCGAGCAGCAGAACTCAGCGACTTTTACCAGTGTTGGTCGAAACTTGACGGCAGTTGGCTGCGGCATAGAGACACACACGCGGGCAGCGACACTTCACGGAGCCGAGTCCGTCAAGTCAAGCAGCGCCCGTTGCCCCGCGGGTAGGCAACTTCTCGCGCGCCAATCGTCGAGGTACGATGGGTGGCCTACACGAAGGGGCACAGGTTAAAAACACGTCCAGGAAAAACCAGGACCGAAAGGCTCCAAGGTTGTACGGAGGTCCCGTTTCCAGGACGGTTCCACGCAAAGTTCCAGGGGATTCAGCGTCGCATTATCAGAGACAAATCGAAGAAAAAATCTCATTCAACGAACGTTAATGAAAGCAGATGATCCGTCGCGTTTCACATCTGCTGTGATAGCCGAGAGGATAGAGACGTGGGATCGAGTTACCGCAGGCGGGCGTTCGAATACCAGCGTCACATACGTTTTTTCGACTTACTATCCTAAGGGTGGTGGTTCGAGGCCATCCGAGCGGAGCCGTGTGCAACAGACCCACATGCCGGAGGTTCGACTCCTAACAAATATTTCCATTTAATTTTACTGCCTCACCCAGTGCGGTTGAAACCCGTGAACGTGAGCCCACCCCGTGCATGGGACGTGGTGGTCCAGGGAGTAGAGGCGTTGGTTCCCAATGCTAGGGTCGGCGGTTCGACTCCCCTAACTTCTTGCGAAATTTTGACCGGGTCGGTCGGGTCCTGTTGCGTCAAGAACCCACCTCACGCCGGTCCCCTCATCATGGGCCGTGGTGGCCGAGAGCGCAAAGTCGTGTGATGCCGATGGCGGGGTCCGGGGATCGAACTATCATTTCGTACATCATGCCTTCCTTCCACTGCAACTCAAAGTCGCGCACGGCGACGTACGCGGCGGGGGTCCTTTTGGTCGAACCCACCCACCCCGGCCCCTAAGGGGCCGTTGGCCGGGCCAGGGGGCCCGCGGCCGGGGGCCCTTTCCCGGCCTGGGGGGCCCGCCCCAGGGGGTGGTCATCTGGGGCAAACCCCAACCCAGGGCGAAACTGGCCCGGCAGGGTCGCCAGGGGGCCACCCCCGGGGGGCGCGGACACCTCCCCCCGGGGGGCCCGGGAGCCGCATCAGGCGGGTGGCGGGGGCCCCCCGGGCCGCCAATCGCCCGGAGGGGTACGAAAGGGTTCCTCCACGGGGGGGAAACGGGTTAAAAAACCCCCCGGGGAAACCAAGACAACTAAAAAGTTTTGGGAGGAGGCCCGGGCAAGGGGGGCCCCCCGCCAATTTTTTTGGGGTTTTTCAGGTCCCTTTAAAAATCAAGAAAAAAATTCAAGACGTTAGGGGAAGGTCCGGTTTACACTTTAGCAATAAGACTAATGAATACGCCCGTTAACGGTACAAAAATTTGGGCTTAAAAACCCCCTTTGTTGGGCACCAAAACCACGACCGTTTTTGAAAACAAACCCAAAAATCTTCGCTCCTAAAAAAAAATATTTAAAAAAATTTAATTTTTATTTCTTTCACCCGTCTAAAGTGAAAATTGGAAAGCCCACCAAACCGTGTTTTTGGCTTGGTCCAATAAGGCGTTTTCCCAAAAATCCAAGTGCGGTCACTCCAAAAAATTTTTTTCCCAAAAAAATTTACCTTTTTCCCTGTTCCTAAAGAAACCCTCCGCGGTTTTTCCTTTTTTTAAGGGCCCTTTAAAAAAAAAAGAGCGAAAAGTCTGTGATCCGATGGCGGGGCCCGGGATCGAATCTTATCATTTCGTTACATTTTCGACTCCCTTCCCTCCCCTGAACTCAAACCGTCGTCCAACACGCTCCAAACTAAAAGCGGATAGCGTAGGGCAAGTCACATTCACCTGGCCACTCCGCTTGGGTGTCAAAAAAGCAACCCGCTTCGGCGGGTTGGCCTCGGCACTGGAGCGAGGGGCGTATTTGATCCATCAATCCGGCCACCCGGTGTTGGTTGGGGGTGGGCCTCCTCGTTTCGGGGGGAGGCGATGATAAGTCCTTTGAAGCGGGCCCTAAAACGCTGTTGTTCGGTACGGGAGCGCCGGACAGTGGGGGTACCAGGGGGACACAACCACCCTACGAAAACAAGAAGCTCCCCCCAAAACCTCTTCTCTGTCTGAGTCTCTCTCTGTCTCTCTGTCGTCTCCTCTAGTCCCCCCCCTCTAAGAGTTTACACTGGGTGCTCCGACCCCGCTGTCTGAGCTTTGGGGGCCTACTGGGTCCCCCGGCGAACGCTTGGGTCGCTGACGGGATTAACCCCAGTACCTGATAGCACCGGTTCCCATCCCGAACACCGAAGTAAAGCAGGAGGCCTCCCCATTAAGACTGGGGGGGGGGTGTAGAGTTCAAATTTTTTTCTTTTCCCTTTCAAATTTCTCAGTCAATACTCGTTCGGTTTCCTTATACGGGGTAGTATGCGGGCTCATTCCAAAGATAGTAAGACGGGACTCCTCCCCGACGAATCAAGGAGGACCCACCCGCGACCAATTACGGGTGGCTGGATTGATGGATCTACACGGTAAAAACGCTTCCTGGGAATCCCAGGAATCTCCTGGAAACTCCTATACCTTATAACATAGGGCTCCTGGGAATCCCAGGTTTCGTTTTAACCGTGTAATACTCCATCGCTCCAGTGCCGAGGCCAACCCGCCGAAGCGGATTGCTTTTTGGGCACCCCGGTAGTGGCCAGGCTAAAATCTCGCGTGGAACCGTCCTGGAAACGGTCCTTCCGTCAAACGTTGGAGCCTTTCGGTCCTGGTTTTTTGTTCACCGTGCACACCCAATGGCGCCGGGCAGCTTGGGCCACCCTTCCTGCACCGGCCCGGCGTGGCGGACCGGTCTGCTCGATGGGCTGCCGCTCCGCCGGGCGGGGCAATGCGCGCGCTGGCCGCCCCGGAGTACGTTGGGCTGCCCATCCAACCCCGGCGGCGCGACGCGCAACCCACAGCCACTTCGGCGAGCTTCGGCGCCTTTGCAGTAGCCTGCCCGTGG